CCCCAAAACCCCAAAACCCCAAAACCCCAAAACCCCTCTGATAAGCTCGTTTCTTGAAAATTTAAAGAATTAATTATAATGGAACCAACAGAAACTCCGATAGTACCCTCTTTGATTAGTGAAGGGCTGTTTACGTTGTGAGATGATAGTGATGAAGGGAAGGAAGAGGAGAAAGAAGTGTGACATGATGAGAATCAGTTGTATTTGAATTATAGAGGATGTGTTTTGGATAAAAATGCGGATTTAGGGGGTAAAAAGAAGGAGTATGCCTCTTTGGATGGTCTGAAACTTGATGAATCTCTTGAATCGTTTAAACAAACTATCATAAACCTCCGCTCGTGTCTGAAATCCTCTTCAAAAATAGAAGGTACTTCTTTATTAACTTTTAGAATCAAAATCTCTCACTTGCACCACTACAATCTTTTCTCTCCCCTACTTCTTCTACCCCTCCATTATCAAAGGCATTCACATTCCTTCAAAATCCATCACCATTGAAATCTCCACTATCGCTGCTAACAGGAACGACTATGAGTACATGAAGGACCTCCGCAAAGATGTAGGCCAAGGTAAATCCATAACCTTCGAAACGTTTAACGGTGACATCCTGACTATTCACAAAAGTAAGTAGCACTGCTGGGCAAAGGCTAACTGGTTGTGTTTAGATATGGTCAATATTTTTAAGCATGAGTTTGAAGATGAAGAAGAAAGTGATGATAATAAATTTGCATTTTTGTCAGAGGAAGCGAGGGTTGGAGCAGATTATATTGATTACAATGATAAAGGAGCTCTGCTGAAGAGACAAAGAGAGATTCTGAAGAAGATTGATGACCATAAGAAAAGTAAAGAAGCTTCATTTGCCCCATTTAGTGTTTTGGGATCTGGGCTGAAGAATTGGTTCATAATTCTTTGACAAGGAGGGAAATTTTGAATAGCGAAGATCCAAGGAGACCAAATAATTGAGCATAAAAGTGATTCAAAATATGTTCAACGAAAGAAGGCTGGAAAAAGACAAATTAATTTTGATAAGACTTCCTCATGAATGACCTCAGTTGGGTCCCAAATGAGAAGAAATAACGAGAGATTACATCAAGAACACATCGAAGAAACATTAAAATTTTACAAAGAAGACCTAGATTCTTCAGACCTAATCCTCCTCCATGCTCCAGGTGTGAACAAACTATTCTTCATCGGCCCTGATAAACCTTTAAGGGAGATCAGGGCAAAAGTGAGAACGCTTAATTTACAAGTGACTACAGCTAATTATACAGAGCTGAAGAAGGTATTTGACAAGGTCATTGAACTCAAGATTTGTTTTAACGAGAACTAAATTTTGATGCAGTGAAGGAAGAGAGAGGGATTAGGGGTGAAAGGAGGGTGGGGAAATTAGGATTGGGGGTTGTCTGTGAGTATGGGGTTTCTGATGACTTTTTGGTATTAAATAATCTGATATAAACATACCCTGTTGTCAGTAGCACTTTTTCAACTAAATACCCTTTATAAGGGGTTTTGGGGTTTTGGGGTTTTGGGG